TATTAATTTTTAATAATATGCGGTTTTTTTCTTCGTGCCCTTCCTTACACGAAAAGAGCCGAATATTAATGACGCTATGTTTTTTTAACTCTTGAAGCTATTTAATTTTCTTATCTACTAGAATAATGTTTTGTTTGTTCTTTTTTTTATATTTTAATATATATTCCACAGTAGTGCAAAACAGTAAAATAAATTTTTACATTTGGACAATGGATTAGGTTTAGCAAGCCTTTATCTTTCGTCGAGGGAAAAACCCAACTATTACTGAGACTCACTGCATTTCGATCGTAACAACCGGAAGAAAGCCTAACTTATTTGGTATTTCCCCGTAGATAAGTTTTTTTTTTTTTTTTTTTTTTTTTTTTTTTTTTTTTTTTTTTTTTTTGGTATGTTGAACAGAGATGGACTAAGCCAATAGATTTGTGGCTTATATGTCCAAATAATAAATTGTTGTAATTTTTAGTCACGATTATGTATAAAACGTAACAAAAAAAAAAAGAGCGGGCGTAATAACTGGAGCCGTAGATAAGTAAAAACACAAACACGTATTTACTTTGTATTTAATTCTTTTTTTCTTTTTTGGTTTGTTGAGTGGAGATGACTGATCACAAGTAAGATATATGCTGTTATGTGCTTGAAAGAGAGCAGAGAGAGGTTGCCATACCATCTTTTATAATGTTAGCAGCGTTTTGCCCAGGAAATATGTAAGAAATACCCAATTGGAACATTGTTTATTCTTAATACTGAAATAAATAAAGGTTTTGTAGGCCTGGCAATACTAACGATAATTTGCATTTTTTCAAAAAGACTAGAATTTGCATACAATATTTCCCTCTTTTTCGAGCTAAGATTTTTCCGGCTTCGGTAAGTTGTTATACGAGCTTTTATGTAAATAAATAAATAAAAACATGCTGGAAAACATGTTACAAAAAGGAAGGAAGAAATAAAAAACTTACGTTGAAACGTTATCGAGTATAAGCTAAAGGTGTAAGAGTTATAAAGGATTGCATCTCTTATTGAAGATTACCATTAACCCTATTAAGATAAATTCACTTCCGACAAAACGTGACAAAACGTCGAGTAGCTAAGTAAAGAATTAATACAGTATTTTTTCTAATGAGAGACTTATCTATCACTGATTCGAATTTTATAGATTTCCGGAAAAACATTCTCATCTATATGTAAACCCTACCCTCATATACCATAATGCAAGTGTTAAAATTGTGTCCCATATCGTCTAAAACGCTTTCACTTATCTTCTTATGTGAGGTGATTGACATACTCTTTGGGTTCGGTCTATCGTTATTTATTCAGTTATTTCTCCGCACAGCGTGCCATGCTTGCTTTGAGGTAACTTGTAACAAAACATAAATGAGTTGTAGATCTCTAATCAACTTTTGTATTGTAGCGACTTCATTCGTTCAATAATTCATTCATTCATTAATTAACTAATTACACTTATTCATTTATTTATTCGCGCATTCATTCATTAACTCAATAAAATTAGATGCCCATATTTTCAAATAGATGTACACATATAACAATTGCTAGGGACTAAGGAGACACCGAAAGAATTTCTAGGCACACTATAGGATTCTTAAATGGGTATCCTTTTCAATAAAATATATATTGTGTGTGATTTATACCCACTTTTAATTTGTTCAATATTTCCAATTTCTTAAATTTAGAGCTAACTATTTAGAGACTAAAGTATTTATTTATGTTTTCACTATTATTAACAAATTCAATTTAAAGAATTTTATTTAAGTTATATTCTAATTTTTACCAATTTTTCTCATTATTTTTTATTATAATTTTGTATGAACCTCTTCGCTAAGAGCTCATAATAATGATTTCAACGAACGGACGAGTAGACGCGAACGTCCGGCTAAACGACCAAAACTGTAATCCGATGAGCAAAGTCTTTTTAAGAAAATACATTCTATCTTTAATTCTTTTTAGTTTTCTACCTCGTTAAATAATAAATTTTCTTTTTAATCAATTAAATTTGGGTCTCTTCTGCTTAACTATTATTTAAAAAACGTTGCAAATATTGCTACGAAGATAAGTAATATTAAAATGCTTCTCGCTTTCCTTTTAATTAAGGACATACAAATATATTGATCCTTCAATGGTTTACCTACCTCTTCAAAGGGTACACGTAATAGTTCCTCGTTTTGGATTAATTTTTGAACGTTTCACCAAGGTATGCAAATAATATATTAAATTGGGTATTACACATAAATTTAAAAATTATTTCAGACTAATGAAAAGAATTCGTTAAAACATGTCTAGAAGTACAATCCCTGACGCGGTGAAAATACAAAAATTTAAGAGAGAAATTTATCAACTATACGTTATATACTTTATATATATGCAGACTCGCTCTTTCAATTCAAGGCGCCTTTTGGAAACTTTGAAGTTTCTCTCTCTTCCTTTATAGTCTTTTGTCAATTATTTTCTGCCCCTGCTTATTTTCTTCCAATGCTTCTCTCGTCTCCATCATTCACAGAAGTTTTGATAATTCTGCTTAACTCAATTCTACTCATAAACACGATTTGTCGTAACAATGCCGTAAAATTAATAAGTTCCCAACGAACACAACTCCTTTGCCTTTTGGATCCCCTTTCCCTCTCTTCTATTTTGTTAAGCTACTTACTGCTTTGCATCCAAGCGCTCTCAGATGATTTGAATTTGTCTTTTCTTCACATTTCTTCCGGAGTAATATCTGTCCTTAATGTTTCTCTCACATGAAGTTCTGTTTAACAAATAGACTACACTGTTCACCGTTTCCTTCAAGAAATTTTTTAATGTATTCAATCGATAGTTGATCAGCAAGCAACGTAAAAGTAAAGAACAAACGACAAATTTATAAAGCATATGAGTTTTTGCGATGTCATTGGCGAACACAATAAACTTCAACTAGAAAGAAAAAATTAATTTCACGATCAATAAA